GTCACGAACATTAAAAAAACTAGTTCCTTTAATCGCAACTTGGTCATATTAGTAGGAAGATCTAGAGGAAAGCATCTGGTCCGGAGTCCGTAGTATGCATGATAATTTCCAGACGTTTCACCGGCATCGTCAGTGAGCATTGTTCGACAAGTGAAGTCTATCCTTTGCTAAGCAGTCGTGGTCTCTCCCTCCGCCCTGAGCTAATCATCAATCCTATATCCTCGTATCAGCCCTTCACTATCACAATTTTTTACTTTCTTATTTAAATGTAATATGGTGGTCCCTTATAAGCGACTTTCAGGAGAACCTTCCACACTCCACGTTGGCGTTCTCACCCACCTTCACTCTTGTGCTGGGAATGTTGATCAGAGTCTGCCATATTGTTACACAGTCCTCCCTCCCTAGGTCTTATCAGAGTCTCCCCCTTACCCCGTAGGATCCGTCTGCTATCTCCCTACTTCAAGTATTTGACTCGACCTCTGCCACCCTATATGTGCTACTTGAAGCGCTATTTTCCACACTTGGCCTCTGGGAGACTAAATCAGGGCTAAAGAACACGACTAATTCTCATCATCAAGCATTTGTTTCATGGACGACATCTATGATCAAACACATCTAATATTAGCCAACTATCCGCCGCATCTATCCATAGTCTCAAGTCTAGGATTTCCTTTGACATAGTTTCTTTTGTGCCAACCCACAAATGTTGTGGTTTTACTTGTTTTAATTAGGTTCAATGTTGTGAAATCAAGATCAAACAACTTCTATACAACGAAAAGAGACTTCGAATATACAAAAGGCCACACCATCTTGGTCTTCAACTTTCGGCTACTTCTTTTAATTTTAAACTTAATCACAATAAGTCAATCGTCGGAAATTTTTTAGCAGTGAATCAGAGTATCGAAATTCGTCAAAACTGTAGATTCCCTCTGCTAAAACTAGTACAACTAAGCATTGAAGAATGTAGTTGTTTGAAGAAGAGCGGTCTGAAAACAGAAGCTCGAAGCCCCGGGTCTTTTTTCTAACATATCTACTATTAACGAGACTTCTGAAAGATAGAGGTTCTAAAGAGTCCGCCGAGAAAAACATCATAGAATAGAAAGGAAGTGAGAACCCTAAACAGTGAACAAGTCAGTAAAAATCAACTCAAAGCCAAAGCTAGCTAATCTCTTGTATTGATTAGATAAGCGGATAAACCTTTTCTTAGGGTCCTTTATCATATTGTAGCACTAAATGGAGGCGGTGGGAGGTGGTATCAACTTTCAAGCATAGAAGGATGGAGCTGAAAAATAGGCAACAAGCACTTACGTGCTCATCGAGCTGTGCCCGCAACTGCTGGTTTGCTGCAGTAAGCTCTGATAGCTCCAGTAGAGCGACCTTGAGCTCCTTCTCCAGACGATTCTGAGCAGCCATTGCCGCTTGACCTGTTTCTTGATCTCTGGTCACCCAGTGGAGCTCGGAGGCTCTTGAAGCGGTCAGTTCTTCACGAAGGCGTTCGACCTCCTCAGCAAGTTGGTCGGCCCGCTGTTGCATCGAACGCGTGGCCTCGCCAGCACGCGTTAGCTCACCTGTCAGACTGGCCATACGGGCGTGTAATTCATTAGCGCTACGGTCGGCTCCGGCACGGACCTGCGACATCTCGTCAGAAAGACGCTGTTTATCAGAGCTTAATTCCTGCAGACCAATTGAAATTAAAATGTTCATTTTAACAAAAGTATAGATGATAAAGGGTTGAAAGGTAGATACTATGTGGCTAGGAAGTGTCAAGTAATTGAGTGATCAAATAACAGAGTAAAGCACACAATTTCTGTAAAAATCAGCGATGATCATAATGCATAGGCTTATTTGAAAAATCATAATCGTTTTCGTAAATATTAAAAAAAATAAACCAACACTATTACAAAAATCAATTTGGATG